ATATATTGCACACAGTTACGGCTGAGTACCCACCTTGGTCCCCTGTCCTGACGTGGCCCTGCAGGATGCCACACTCATTTATTGCAGAACATGCAAAATATTTGTAATATTTTTTCCTAATAATTGATAAGTGTTGACAAAAGCCATTTTAGAATGAAAACTCCATGTTGATTTTGGTTAAATAAATAAAAACAGAAAGCTTCTCCTTTGTGACAGGTCATTATCTGCAGTCTTTGTATGTACATCTTCAAGGACATATACTGCTGGTCCTTGCGCAGACCATCTGCCTTGTGTCAGAGTATAATGTTTGCCACATTCATAAATACATTTCTCACAATATTGCTGCATTAATTTTAAACCATGGTAGATGAAAACTTCTTGAGCCAAGTGGAGAGGCCACTGAAATAGAAGCTTAATCTGACATCTTCCTTGGAGCACTGTTCAAGTGAGTTTAGAATGTAATTCTCAGACATTTTATTTTAAATTAGAGATGACAAACGTCTGAAAAATTATACTTAAGCAGTCTGTGGAATAAAAACGGTTGTGTATGTCCCTAAAACATAGGTGTCGACCCATTCAGTATGTCTTTATAAATACATACATTCCTGAGATCAAACCAACTGTGTATGTGACACTGTTCTGCAATTTAACTTGATCAGCACCTATGTTTTATGATTCTGTATGCAATAATTACTGAAGGTTTTTTTAGTGAACAAATACAAATACAAAACTGGATAATCTGCTGTATCGTTAATGATTTTCAATGCATGATTTTATTCTATATTATGTCAAACATGGGGCCTTTCTGCATGGGGCCTTTTCTGGGATTTGCTTTGGATCCCACTTCAGTAAGAGGTGGGTTCCATCATGAGCTTACATGGGTGTATTATGATCATTTTGCTTTGTTTTGCATACATTCATTTTCACCAGGGCAGAATCCCTTAAACAAAACAAAAAGCAAAAACATTTAGAATGTATTCAGATTGTTTATTATGTGCCACAATTGTAAACATTTTCAAAGTAGAAAAAATATTAATGCACAAAAGCAAACACACAAAACAGAAGTGTTCTGGTCTGTTGTAGATGAACCTCATACAAGGGCTTGTGAATACTCAAGATAAAACAAGCAATGTATATTTTTGTTAATTACATAGCCTACTGTAATATATAATAAATAATCTAAGTTTGAAGTAATTTGTTGTTCAAAGATTTATTTGAAATACTAGATAATGACAGTTATTTAGTGCCAATAATAATAATAATAATAATAATAATAATAATAATTATAATAATAATTCTAAAGTAAAAATGTACCATTTATAAACATTCCTAAATTTCTACATCGGTCAAAACCTGTCCACTTCCTGATGCTTGAGGAAAGAGGAAAAGCATTCAGTTATCATTTACTTTATCATTTATCATTTACTATATTTTTTTTGTGTTACACTGTACAACAAATTTCTTTACCTGACAATCTGGAGCAACACTACAATCAGCATTTCCAACAGTTCCCTCTGCAGACTGAATGTGCTTGGTCTCTTTGGAAGTTGTTCCACTGTAAGCAGTCACAGAACTACAATAACAGCTTGTCTGGAATAGATGGGTTTCACTTTAGAAACTGAATAATGAGGCAAGAACTCCACAACTGCAAGCTCAACAATAAAGGAGACAAGAATCAAAATTAAGAAATCCATCATCAAAAATAAGCTACTTACAGGTTAAACTAATGTAAAGCACTCCTGACAGTGAACCCTGATATGAGCCAGAAAGTATTACATCAGGTAAACTATCACAGCACCTGTTTTTACTGTTTTCTTTTAGTTCTACTGACTTACACAGAAGGGTGATGTGTGCACATAAGAGGACTTAACACTGCTGTCAAGACAACGCACTAGCTCCGAGCTAACGTGCTAACCGCGAGCTAACACACTACACCATTGTAGCTTGAAAAGCACCTGCTGTTCCTTTAAATGCTCAGAGTAATTAGCTAACGTTAGCTCGCAGTTTGCACACTAGCTCGCAGTTAGCACTTTAGCTCGGAGCTGGTGCTTTAGCTTGGGTTAACGCGAGTGTCAGCTGTTTTCTGTAACTTCAGTAATGGGCCACTTATGACATGTCAGACTTAAAAAGTACTGAGATGCAAATCAACGACCATGGTCTGCCACAGCATTAAGGTGTGGCCCTCTTCCTTTATCCACACTGTTGAGCCACAATGTTTAAGCCAGAAATGGCCCCTAAAAGTAGATATGAGTTAAAACCATACACAGCTGTCCAGCATCTGGCCCAGTTCTGGCCCACATGCCCAATATCTATCCTAAAGTCAACCAACACTTGCGTATATAAGCCAGAATCGGCTCAGAACGGTCTGCTATCCCAGTGGGCCACTTATGACATGCCAGATTTGGGCCAAAAGTAATGAGGTGTAAATCAACTGAGCACGAATCTGCTGCCACTTAATTGTGCTGTGGCCCTTTTCCTTCAACCACATTGTTGGGCCACAACATTTATGCCAGACTTGGCCCTTAAACATAAATACTAGTCAAAACCTTACACAGCTGTTCAGCATCTGGCCCAGTTGTGGCCCACATCCCTAATGTCTATCCGGAAGTCAACCAACACTCGCGGATGTGAGCCAGAATTGGCCCAGAACTGTCTGCAATCTGGGAGGGCTTTCGCGCTATGCTGCACACTTTGGAGCCAAGATTCAGCGTCCAGTCTCGAAAATATTTTACTGACACAGTGACCCCCCCCCCCACACACACACACACACTCTCTACAACGAGACCAAAACCGAAGTTATAAAATCTCTGAATTAAATAGGACGGCTGTAACATGTGCTGCGTGGACATCCATTACCACTGGATCTTATTTTACCCTAACAGCGCATTTTATCGCAGATGAGTGGCAGCAGCGTCTCCAAACAAGAGCAGCGAATGAGAGCCTTCTAGATCACTAACATTTGATTTATTAATAAAAGATATTGGAAGTAAATGCATTATAGATCATTACAAATACTTTGCTTTAAAACTACCGAGTCCTCACTCAGTGAGAAAATAGAAATCCTGTATAGAAAAAAAAGATGCATCAAGATGCATCGATAATCGTTTTATAATTGCATTGCAGTCCTCTGAATCATAATCAAATTGAATCGTGAGGTGCCTGAAGATTTCCACCCCTTATGGACAGTACTTAAGACAGCTCTATATCTAAGCATATGATCTGATGCTAACACATTAACAGTGAGACCAGTATTCTTATAAAGGCACTCTAAATGTCTGCCTGTGGTTTTCATAGCACAGAGTTCAGGTGTAAACCAATGGGAGGAATGACCAGAAGGAAGCAGTCTAGTCTTCAGAGGGGCCAGCTGGTCAAACATATCAGAAATGGTGCCATTAAACAGAGATAGAATATAATCAGGACAAGAGAGTTGAGCAATAGAGGAAAGAGGACTGAAGAAAAGCAGAAGAAGTGTAAGAAGCAACAGCCTTGATATTACAAAAAGAGATGGAAGATTAAGGTTGAGAGAATCAAATATTAGCTGTAGCTTTAATAAGTTTGTCGTCAGAAATACTAACAAGAGAAGCAGAAACGGAGGTGGCAAGCAGACCAGTAGAACAGATTAAATCCAGTGTGTGACCATGTGAATGAGCAGGAAAGTCAACATGTATCAAGCTAAAACAGTTAAGCACAAACAAAAACTCAGTTGATAATGAACAGTCAATGTCAACATGGATCTTGAAGTCCCCGAGCACAATCAAAGCTGGACATACAGAGCTGGCTAGAGTAATTCACTGAACTCTGACAGAAAGTTTGAAGAAGATTTGGGTGGGCAGCAAATTAACAGAAACAACACAGGAGCTGAACCAACCAGTTTCGAAGGCATCCATTCAAAAGATGTAACTTCATGAATCTCACAGCCAAACCCAACAGCGAAGCCACCACCTTGTCCCTGGGACTTAGGCTTAGCTAGATAACTATGGCCAGTAGGTAGCACCATATTGGGATGGAGGTGATCTTCAGTTTTCTGCCAGGCATGAAAGCAACAAAGTCTCTCTTCAGGACTCAGACAAGATGAGTAACACTGTGTAGGCTCTGTAGGATGATTATTCTCTGGAAGTTCCTTGCAGCTGGGGTTGTAACTCAAATGAGAAAACTTTACTAGGCCATCTAGATGTGCATTTACACAAAAGCTGCTAGGATGATGACTTAATCTAGGGTTAAGTCGTCATCTTTACAGGCTAGTTCTACAAGCACTCCTTAAGTCCATTATGAAAAGTAACCAGTAGAGCAGGTATGTTCCATCCACTATTAGCAGCTAGTGTATGAAACTCCAAAGCATATTCCAAGACTGCACTGAGCGTTCCAGCAAAAAGCCACAACATTTATCAGCAGAGCAATCAAACTTATTGGGTTTGCTAATTGGAAAAGAGGTATTAGCAGTTGCATGAGGTGAGGAGGGTTAAAAACAGGAGGGGTTACATGCAGTGACGACAGCTGAGAACCAGAAGCTGAGACAACTGTATTTGTTTTTCATTCTGTTGTGTTTCACTACTCAGAGATTGGTTAAACTCTCCAAGAGCTGACCTAACACTTGGTCTTGATTGTCCACTGTCTACATTGATGGCAAAATATTCTGTAGGGGTCAGAACAACTCAGACGCTCAAACAACCTTTGAGGCTTTAATGAAAATGAGATAATCCATGAGTTGGAAGCCACTTGAGGATCAAGACTGCATATAAGGACAATTAGAATTCATGACCTTCTTGGATAATTCCTTGAAATACAGAAGATGTCTTTGGCACTATAGCTGTAATTGCAAAACATCTACAGTTTATAACCACTATCACCATTTAATTTTAACCACTGTGTACACCTGAAACTCTCTGTCTCTCTATTTTTCTAGGGTGTGAATCAAAACCTTGGCACTGAGCTCTGTTGAAACCTGTGACTTGAGGTAAGGACTTCAAAAGTGGCTTCCTGTAGCTCACGTGATGTTCACAGTGGAGAGCAGCATACATGTAAATCCAGTTGTCTATTGTGCATGAACTGCACGAAAAGCAAGATCATCACATCAGAAGGTTGGTAAAACATTTTCGCTTATTTTTAAAAGAATACAGAGACTGTACTTGACATCATGCTTCACTACTTCACTAAAGAAGATTTTTGCATTCTATGCAAATGCTATTATGCTATTATAATACAATCATTTCATGAATTGATTGCAGTCAACTTGGATCCAGATCAAACTTTGTTTATGTGTGACTTGTTATAAATGATGTAAATTTGATTTATAGTGGATCATATATTCTCTGATTGAGCAAAAGTGCACCCAGTGATTCTTGGAAAAACAACAACCTTATTTCATTTTTATAAGGTTGTGTTATTACAAAGGAAGTGAATTGAAGTGGTATGTTGCTACCCTTAAATAATAGAATAGAAATTAGAATAAATAAAAGAATAGAATATCTCCCTTAATCTTTTAATGCACCAATACATTATGTGAGTTTTGTGAGAGTAACTTTTTTTTTTAATCCTTAGACTTTACAAACACGACAGTGTGATTGAACTAGACACCAGTTATGGCAGATCAACCTTCCTCTCAAGGGTAAGGCTTCATTATTATGTCGTAAAACCATTTACATCATAATTTCAACCTTATCTCACATCAAAAAAGATGAACAAGCAAACAAAATTAACTGATACAACACAAATCATAAGAGGAGTGCACCTTCCAAAGACCAAAAATATCCATTTGAAAAAAGCCTTGATTCTAGGCATAAAGTGTCTATTGTCAAAGATTTACATTATTTTAAATGATTGGAAACCGTTGGTTTCAAAACACTAGTTGCATTGTTGAATGCTATTTTTAAAGCTAAACCCTTTGCAAGTGTTTTGTGTTTCCATGCATAAATAATAATAATAATCATCTGTAAGGATGAAGAACATATGGCCTTAAAGAAGAACATACTGTGTACTCATACGTATATGAATGTATTAAACATGCATCTATGTTGGGTTTTTTTTGGATTTAGGAATGAGGACGTAAGCACCTTGGTGAGAAAACAACTTGACGAAGTCACAAGAAACAGTAAATCAATTAATGGATCCCTGACAAGATACATTCTGAACACCAGAACTGTAGTTGATAAAGAAAAATTGAAGAGAGAAACATTTGGAGAAAGAGACACAAGAAAACGTAATAAAACCATATTAATGGTTGGAGAAGCAGGAACAGGGAAGTCGACTCTCATCAACGCCATTATCAACTACATGCTGGGTGTCAAATGTACTGACAGAATCTGGTGTGAGATCATAGAGACGAAAGAAAAACAAACTGATTCTCAGACAAAAGCAGTGACTGTGCATGATGTGTTTGTTGAGGAGAGTCCGTTCTCTCTCACTGTCATTGACACACCTGGATATGGAAGCACAGAAGAGAAATATAATGATTTAAAAACTACTAAAACTCTTTATCAGTTATGCAGAGATGAAGTTCATGAAGTTAATGTAGTGTGTCTTGTGGTGTCATCGAAGATCACTCGACTCACAGATAAACAGCTATACATTTTTGATGTAATTCTTTCTTTATTTGGTAAAGATGTGGAGAGAAACATTGTTCTGCTCATCACACACGCCACACAAAAGCCTGTAAATTGCCTTAACGCCATCAAAGAATCAAAAGTCAAATATGCAAAAACTGATGATGGAAAGCCTGTGTACTTCAGCTTTGACAACTCTCACTGTGAAGCCTTTAATGAAGAAGATGAAGACACAGGATTTGATGAAGAATACCACAAAGCAGCCTGGCATAAAAATGAGGAAAACATGAAGAACTTTTTTGCTTTTCTGTCTGACAGTAAACCTGTAAGCTTGAGTCTGACTGAAAATGTGCTGCAAACCCGCAAACAACTGAAAGCAGCCATCGACAACTTAAAGGAGCGAATCAAACAGACAGAACTAAGAAAAAAGGAGCTTGAACAGACAAAAGCAGCTTTGGAGCAACACAAGAAAGAAAAGAAGGACAGTAATAACTTTGAATGTGAAGTTGAACAGTGCTACAAAGAAAAGGTTCCTATACAGTCTGATTGGTGGCAGTTGGGCAAAGAGGCGACTTGCTGCAGTGTGTGTGAGGAGAACTGTCATTATCCTGGATGCTGGTGGGTCAAAGACGTCTACTGGTGCAGCGTCATCTCAAGGGGAAAGTGTACTGTCTGTACTGGAAAGTGTGATTACACTCAGCATGTTAAAGAGGGGAAAATGTATGTGACGAAGACTCGGAAGGTGAAGAAGACTAATGAAGATCTGAAGAAGAAATATGAGGAAGAGTCTGGAGAGAAAATGAGTTTGACAAGCAGACTGGAGAATGAAATAAAAGAAAATGAAAGAGAGAAAATCAGGCTGGTGGAAGAGTGTTATCACTGCGTTGTCACTCTGAAGATGATTGCTTTAAAGGCTGAATCTGAGTCCACCCTACAACATCTGGACTTCCTGATAGAGAAAGTGAAGGAAACAGGAAACACAGAAAGAGTGCAAAAGCTTGAACAAATGAAGAAACATACTACAACTTAAAGCCAAGGAATGTAGGGATATGCATGATGATTTTTGTTTAAAAAAAAAAAGACAGACAAGCATGTGTGTGAATGAATTGTTGTGTGTGTGTGAGAATGTATGTCATGTTAATGATTACTTTTGTGTGTTCTGTTTTTTTTTCCAAACAGTAGAAACATTAATAGCTCTTACTCAATTGCCATTTTGTTTCGAAGTTAAATAAATGAAGGGTGGGGTGGGGGGGGATAAAACTTAATGCCCTTATTTATGTTACCAGCTCTGATGTAACTAAAACAAAACCTATTCATTTGTACCTTTAAACTAAGATGAGTTCAAACATGAAATTGATAAAGGAAAAAGTATTCAAACACCACAAATTAATGACATTAGTATTTTGTTGTCTTTACTGTAAGTTACAGGTTTTTACAGTAACAAGTAATTACCTTTTTTAGAAACTGGTTGAGCTCTTTTGGCTGCACATTGTGGTATTTGAAACATCCATTGTCCGCCTAAATTTTTCTCTAATTTGTCCTTGACTTTCACACAATACTGTATGTAGATTTTATAGGTTTTTATTCGGGTAAGCCCCAGAGAGAATCTGTAAGGCTGTGTGACAGAGGTTTTCTTGGGGGAAAAAATTAAAAACTTAATGCCCTTATTGAGTTTGATATGAGCTCTGATGTGAATGAGTACAAAAGGTACAGGTACCTGTCCATTTATTTTATTTTTACAGCATTAACATGTAAAACAAAAGATGTTATTTGTGTAAAGCAGATATATGCTAATGGATATAAAAAATAAACACAAGTGTCTCAATACTTTCCTATCACTGTACCTGGGGAGAACCTAGCACAAGGTTCCTTTATAGGGCTTAATTTGTAGTAATGGATGCAGGTCAGTGGGGTCAGTGGAGGTCGTGGGGAAAACATTGCTCAGAAACATAATCCAATATGCATTAGAAACATAACTGTTTCCCCACAACATTGCATCTCAGAACTCCTGTTATAGAGTTTCTTAAGCATCAAAGATCATCTCATACATCGGTTTCCCAAAACTAAACAAGCATCTTCTGATGCATGCGTAGTTAATAAATCAGTGTCATAAGCCAGTGGATCTGGCTTGTGGTTTTGGCCGGTGGTTCTGACTTGTGACCACTGACTTGTGGTTCAGTATCCTTTGTAATGCCCATATATAATGTTCAATTACAGAATTGGGACTTCAGTGCTTCAATATATTTGGAGAGCATTCTGTTATACATGGCAACTTTTTTCAGTTACGATGATTGTACTTTAAATATGTCAGTTTTGGATCGTTTTCAAATGTTTAGTTTCTCTCATATTTATCAAGCTGATAACAAACATCTATTTTTCATGGCTGTTTTTGCTTGTATTTGTAACCAAAGTAACAAGTGTAGAGCATATTGCAATATAGTTACCTTTCATTTACATTTTAATGTTTTCGTGTATTATTTTTTCTTTCATATTGGTGTCTTTTTTTTCTACTTCATACAGGTTATCCTACAATCAATCAATTTGTGTAAACCTGTGTTATATTTAATGACAAATACTGTATGTTTTATGATTTTTTCCCCTCCCTGACACTGAAAAAATGAATAACTTGTTCTTATTGGCCATTATGACTGGAAATTAAACAAATAAAAGGTGGTTTCTGTCTCTGTACAGTACTGTATGTTACAAATGTGAACAGTTAGATTCTATTCTACTTGCTTAGTTCACCTAAACATTTCCTACAAGCCACTGCTGATAAGTCATAAAAGGTTTTGAATGAACATTCTATACATAGTCATTTGGAGGCTTTTATCTAAATGGTATAAGTGCTGCTTTACAGTCAGAGCTGGTTAGTAATATGAAGGTAAGAATTTAACAGCATTACATAATCAGAGCACATAAAAAAGGTAACTATATTTTGTTATGGGTACAGAAAGAAAAGGTCGTAATAGCAGATATTATACATTATAAAAACAGAAGGATTACAAGGAGGATTACATTAAAACCACTCACGATGATCGCTCATGATGATTTTCTTCACTGGGTTTGTCTCTATGAGCTAAATTTGTGTGCTGAATGGGAGTTTATTGTTTGTCAAGTGAGCTTTCTCCATTCTGCTTTATTGAACAGCTCTTCTGAATTACTATTACTACTGTCTTACTAATCTAAAAATTGTGTTTACCATGACAATGATATTAACTTATAACTGACTAATTTTGCTTTTTGTTCCAGATGAAAGTGACTTATCGAGATTGAGAACAGTAGCACACAGCCATATCTGATGCAAATCAGGCAAAATCAACCGAAAGGTCTAAAAAGCTTAGTGCAGCTTAATGAAAATGTAAAGCTGAGTGGAGAAAATGTTTCATTTTCCGGTAACACTTTACATTAAGGGTCGCTAATCAATCATTAATTATATAATAATCAACTATTAATTTCCCATTATTTAGTTATTAGTTAACTCTTCATTAAACATTAGCTATTACTTAGTAATTAATTAAGCACTTGTCAATTAGTAATTAAGTACACTGTTAGGTCATAAGTTAGTTTGTCGTTAGTTTATGGCTTACTTATTCATTATCAGTACACCAACTGCTGCTTATTACGTTGTTAGTTAACTAATAAGTATTTTTATTCATATGAAGAAGTAACATGATCACTTACTAGCACTAATGTGCTAATCCCGCTAATTATCTGTTAATTAACTTTCCATCACCCCCATATATTCAGTTGCTTCACTTTTCTCACATTGGTTCTTGTTCATTAAAGATGCGTATGGTCACATCTGACCGTAAGATGAGTGCACACAATTTCACTGGCGGTTTTGTTATTCTAATTAACCAAAACTATTATCAACATAATCTGTAATTGCAAAAATAAAAACAACAGTAGAAAATTTCAATAATACTAATTTGTGTGCATGACAGTCCGGTACAAAAGTGGATGTACTTACTTTACATGCACATTGATATAAACAAGTGCTGCAACTATTTCATGTTCCATTTAAAAAAACATTACACTGTGATTTTGTTGTCATACACTGCAATAGTACAGCGTTTATTTTAGGGAATTAATTACACTAAACAATCACTCTACTATGTTAACAACACTGAGAGTATTTAGTTTTGTTTCACATATTTTATTTTTTTCCAGTTGTTTTCATTTTAATACAATTAAGTCTGGTCAGCAGGGGAGGAGTGCACTCACTGCTGGACATCAAACTCCACCCATGAGCACGGCCATTAGCTTTCATGCCAAACACTGCCGTTTTATTGGCTGGCTACTGAAACATCTGCATGAATTAGTGTGTGCTTCATGTAAATGATATGTGAATGAGGTGCTGGTCGGCTGGTTTCACGCACTGAAGCTGATTTATCATTTATACTCAAATCTCCACTTGTTTCCACATCGTACAAAATTGTTATGAATCAGACGCAGAGCAGTTCATACCTTATAAAAACGTTTTCTTTTTTTATGCGACTTTGATGATTAATGGGCCCTTTTCACAAGATTCGTGATTACTTCCGGTTTAAGCATTAGCAGGGTAAAACTCACTTCCTCTCCATATAGGTTAACTAACTACTGCAGAACCGATGACAGAATGTTTAGTAGTGAACTATAACGCTCAAACACTGAGCTACAACAACTATATTTTAGTATTCCTGCACGGTTGTGACAAACAGCGAGAATAAGAAGTGGAGGGAAGCACTGATTTAACTGTAAACAGAGCTTAAATGCTGTATGTTGTTTTTATTGCAGTTCTGCTGCAGCTGCTTCACATCAAGCCGTCTCTTTGTCTTCTGTAATCTTCTGTTTTCAAAAGAAAGAAGAACTTTTATATGTAGTATGAATTTTATAGACTTGTTTATATTAAGCTAGCTATACTGGCTAGAAGCTACTGCTAACCAAACTAGATTGCCTGGCTAACATAAAGCAGCTTTTTCAAACGTCACAGCAGAACCGCGGCGCTAATATACAAGTTAAGTTAGCTAGGAGTGGCGTTTTTGGTTGAGCAGTGAAAGGTGGATGTTATCTGAAGAACTGCTTCAAAAATTGCCATGAAACTATAAGAATAATGCTGTTTGACAGATCGCTAACATAGCCAGCCAGCTAGCTTTAAAGTTTGCTACTCATACGAAGCTGGTGTTCCTCAAACTGATAATGGTAGGCTAGCTAATTAGCGACTGTAGCCTGCTAGCCTACCGTAAGCTAAAACAATTTAAACGATGTCTGTCAAATAGACTTTACATATAAAAGTTCAGGTTTGCGTTTATGTCAGAAGTCTCTGCATCCTGTTGCTAAATGTGTCACAGAACCTGCCCAACGTTAGCCGGCTGGTGCCAGCAGCTAAAGAAAGCTAGCTTCCTTATTTTGGGAACACAGCTACAGTTAGAAATGACTAATAGCGTTGCTAGCTAACCTAGCTACAGCTAAACAACGTCTGCCAAATTCATACTGCACAGAAGAACTTTTATTTCTTTTGAAAACAGAAATATTACAGAAATCGCTGGCATGTTGTACAACTACAGAGACAATGCTTGATGTAAGCCGCTGCAGTAAGCAGGGCTTCACCACACACAGCATTTTAGCTGTGTTTAAAGTTAAATCAGTGCTTCCATTCACTTTCTCTTCTCACTTTTTGTCATGATAGTGCACGAAAACTAACATATGTCTGTTGTAGCTCAATATTTGAGCATTATAGTTCGTAATCGCGACTCTTTGTGAAAAGGGCCCATGGCCATTAGATCTTTACATTTTGACCGTTAATTACTTCTTAAATTCCTCTTACTTAACCATTAATTACTGCTTTTGTGTCCCTCTAAGTAAAGTGACAACCTGGTTAAGTAAGAGGAAATTAAGAAGTAATTAATGGTCAAAATGTAAAGATCTAATGGCCATTAATCACCAAAGTCGCATAAAAAAGAAAACGTTTTTATAAGGTATGAACTGCTCTGCGTCTGATTCATAACAATTTTGTACGATGTGGAAACAAGTGGAGATTTGAGTATAAATGATAAATCAGCTTCAGTGCGTGAAACCAGCCTACCAGCACCTCATTTACATATCATTTACATGAAGCACACACGAATTCATGCAGATGTTTCAGTAGCCAGCCAATAAAACGGCAGTGTTTGGCATGAAAGCTAATGGCCGTGCTCATGGGTGGAGTTTGATGTCCAGCAGTGAGTGCACTCCTCCCCTGCTTACCAGACTTAATTGTATTAAAATGAAAACAACTGGAAAAAAATAAAATATGTGAAACAAAACTAAATACTCTCAGTGTTGTTAACATAGTAGAGTGATTGTTTAGTGTAATTAATTCCTTAAAATAAACGCTGTACTATTGCAGTGTATGACAACAAAATCACAGTGTAATGTTTTTTTAAATGGAACATGAAATAGTTGCAGCACTTGTTTATATCAATGTGCATGTAAAGTAAGTACATCCACTTTTGTACCGGACTGTCATGCACACAAATTAGTATTATTGAAATTTTCTACTGTTGTTTTTATTTTTGCAATTACAGATTATGTTGATAATAGTTTTGGTTAATTAGAATAACAAAACCGCCAGTGAAATTGTGTGCACTCATCTTACGGTCAGATGTGACCATACGCATCTTTAATGAACAAGAACCAATGTGAGAAAAGTGAAGCAACTGAATATATGGGGGTGATGGAAAGTTAATTAACAGATAATTAGCGGGATTAGCACATTAGTGCTAGTAAGTGATCATGTTACTTCTTCATATGAATAAAAATACTTACTAGTTAACTAACAACGTAATAAGCAGCAGTTGGTGCACTGATAATGAATAAGTAAGCCATAAACTAACGACAAACTAACTTATGACCTAACAGTGTACTTAATTACTAATTGATAAGTGCTTAATTAATTACTAAGTAATAGCTAATGCTTAATGAAGAGTTAACTAATAACTAAATAATGGGAAATTAATAGTTGATTATTATATATTTAATGATTAATTAGCGACCCTTAATGTGAAGTGTTCCCCTTTTTCCAAACCATACATACCTTATTTGAATACATAATTAACACATTTCTTCTTTGCTGCTTGAGAAACCCCTTAAAATCACAGGGTTATTACATGTTAAGGCTTATTATTCCGTAACTTCAGAGACTTAAATGCAAACTGGTTGAGCTATTCTTAGGTTATAGAAGTGTGTAATAAAACTTTGGGCTTGCCAGCAGGCCCTGGACATTTAAGGGGTTAAGCATCCAATTGCCTTAATGACAGTGCCAGTCCTGTCTGGTAATGATTACACCACAGTGTCAGAAAAAAGGTGCTAAAATGTCACTGTGGTGGTACCCTCAAGGGTACGTCTTCAGTACGTTTAGTTAGGAAACATAACTAAATAACTAATAGCCTATCTATCCCATAATCTATTGCATTTATATATTTTATGTTGTATTGACTTCACACACTCTGCCATGTCTCCAACCTTTTTATTATATTGTTTTATTTTAAACAATAATATAATATGAAATGTGCTATGAAAAGGTACAAGTATGTACCTTTTCCCCTGAGAAAAATGTATTTAACATACACAGTTGAACCATAAGCATTGTTTTACCATTGAGAGTACATTTACATTGTTTGTACCTTGATGACCAAAAATGTACCTGCACAGTTTATGGAATAACAATGTTTTAAGGCAAAGGAATGTGTACCCAAGTATTAGAAATACATTTTACGACAATTTTTTTTGTGAGTTAAGTATTCCTTTGGAATAGGTTACAGATCACATTGTACCAGAACAGATCTTTAAAGTAACCCTCCCAACCTTATAGTCTTATTTGGCATTTAAGCAATCTGTGTAGCTTCAAAATGCAGCGTTTTGCAGTGTGGAGATATACAGGACAGATCTCTGCTGGTGTAAACACAAGGCTAAATTTCATTTAAAGGCTAAATTTTTATACACTGTTAGAAATAAAAGTGGTTTAAAATTCTGGTTTTAAGTAAAGATTTTTGTTCATCGATGTACAAACAATGTAAATGTACCCTCAAATGTACAACAGTGGTTTTAGGGTCCAACTGTAAAGAAGTTTTTCCCAGGTGAAAAGCACATATTTGCACTTTTTCATAATCTAATGTTTTATAAAATAAAAGCCTGGAGATGGAGAAAATATAATTTCAATGGATTATGGTACAATTATGTTCCCTGACTAAAGGTACTGAGATGTACCCTTGAGGGTACCACCCCAGCGAAAAGAGGGGTGCTGCCCCAGTGACAGTTAGTACCTTTATTTCTGAGAGTGTATGTGTGACACCAGTGTGAAACCTGGCACTGAAATCTGCAAACTGTCTCTGTCTTGAGGTAAAAAACTTCAGAAGTGGCTTCCTGTAGATCACATGATGTTCACAGTGGAGGTGTTGTTGTAAGTACAAGCAGCATGAATGTCACTCCAGTTGTCTACTGTAAAAGCATGAAAAGCATGATCATCATATCAGAAGGTAGGTAATGTGCTTGGATTAGCTTTTAAGTTTAAGCCTATACTTAACAAAAGTCTCTGTTTTCTTTTTCACCTAATCTGATGTTATTGATACAGTAGAACTGTGAATTGGTTGCGTCCTAAGTTGAATGTGATTCAAATTAAAACTACAAGGCTTTGATATATGAGCTGGGGGTGGAGGTATTTCATTCCTTGTGTAAATACAACTTTTTCTGTGACTGAGTTAAAAGGGCACAAAAGGATGGCCCTGTTACTTTCAATTGTACGTGTTTGTGTTACTAAAGGTTGTAACTGGAAGTGCTGTGTTGTTACCATCAATTTAAAACTAATGAAGTCATGCTATATAGCAGCAGTTCATCATATATAATTACCAAAAAGTAGAATATCATATTTCACAGCTATATCTCCCTGAGAACATAACATCTGTTTTATTCTGGTTCTGTTTCCTCAAAGTTATCTTGCTGTGAGAACTAAAATATATTTCTCTTTTCTCATTAGATCTGAGAAGCAATGCAGTTTGAGTTGGTTCTCTCAACTACACACTAGTGATGGCAGATTGTCAATCTTCCTCTCATGGGTAAGACTTTATTGCTCTGTGGTTCTATGCTATGGTTCTATGATTTCATAGAGTCATACACATTATAGCTACATCTTACATTAAAAATATGGACGAGCAAACAAACATGGGTCAGAAGATGGGAACAACTTACAGAGGCCCCAAATATCCTTTTAGGTAGTGACAAAGACATTGATTTAGATTGTAGCATCCTTTTGACGCATTTTATAAAAGGTATATCTGTCAACTTATATCAGGTTAACACTCTACATTTACCTTATTGAATTTTAAGCTCCAATTTAAAATTCTAAGTTAAAGCCTTCTTAATTAAAAACATTTTTTTCTGCAAACTACTCTTTTAAAAGGTTAGTTACTTTAAAACTGAGGCAACTCTCTGGGCTTGTTAAGATTACAGTTGCAAAGGCAACTGTAAAAGATTCAATATAGTAATATTTAATAGACTATAATACATTGTAAACAAATGCAACAATTTTCATGTAATATTTAGATATTTAGGGAAATCGACAATTGAAGTAAGACACTTTTTAGAAATGGAAATTGGAAAAATATACAGTAACTGCTGCTAGTAAATGTACAAGAGAACTTAAAATATTTTAAAGGATGAAACTTATTGACACTAAACTAATAAACAACTGAAACTAAAAAAAAAATAAATGATAACTGATTTCAGTAAAGAAGAGGATTATGGCTTCTGCAAGAAGCATGGAGAGTTCTGTGTAGACAGAAATATGTAGGCACATCTTCATTGCGCATGGTCCATTTGTCTTTGCTCAACTGATCAAAGCTTTGTGGCTACCATGACTTAAAGCCAGCTCTGTGGCTGTGTTCATATTTCTCATGTAGTGATTGCACCCAAAAATAGTAAGTAGTATGCAGTATATGACCAATATTAAAATACGCCAAAGATACCCAGATGACATACTACTCTGGCCGAATATTTCAGTACATAGCCATAATTATCATTGCGACATGGTCATTTCCAGAGGGCATGACCACTTATGTAACCGTAACACCCTCCACTCTGTCATGGCATCTTTCAAAACTCACCAGGCACATCTTGACCGCTAAAATAAATCCCCACATGCTGCTAAACAGTCAAAAAGTGTCTAGCAATGGTTGCAAATCAGGCTACACTGAGAAAGTTACTGCTTTTTCCTACCCATCCTCCTCCTCTTCTCTGTGACCAAGAAACTGATTAAGTGATGCCATCTTTCTGGCCGTCCCCGTACTGGAGAAGACGAGAGAAGCCACTTAAAATACCCACCAAAGTGACTTCCAGCAGAGGGTACATGGGAGTATGCTACCCAAGAAGTCTTTTAAAGATTTTAATGTGATCACTGCATGCACACCTAAAGAGGATGGACAAACATGTAGCAATTCAACTATACTTTTAATTCTTTGTTTGTGTTTATATGTTCTCTGTGTTTTACATTTTGTACTTTGTTTTAAAAAACACAAATGTAAATTGCCTGTCTCTGTATAGCAGTTGTGGATACAGGAGTATTAGGGCAGTGCTTTAAAGCGAATGTTGTGATAGGCTCAGTTCATCAATAGTCATCATCAGATGTAATGACCTTGAAAGTAATCAACAGTCTCATTTTCACTGTTTCTGCTTGTTCTGTCCATTCTATTTGCTCTTATCCTCTCCTCGGTTCCTCCACATTCTTGGAGATGAGCAGTAGGAAGAGAGGGGCAGGATGACAAACAAACCATCAGAAGAACTCAGAGGAATCAGACATCTCAAATGTTTTTAACACTGAAAACCTGAAATATATACCATTTTTTCATATTCTACGGCAACAAAAATAGCCTAAGCACCATGCAGACCTGAAAAAGTTCAACAAATTTGATCTTTAGCCACAATATGCCATGGCATCATGCTGCACTGTGCATATGCACAGTATGACAAAAATGAGTCCATTTAATGTGGTTATGTTACAACTGAAGTTTGGTGGGAGGAACATGCCTGAAACCCCTCCTTCTTCCAATCTAATGCCCTATAAATTCACATCCCCACCTTCCGTTCCCGTGACAAAAGGTTTGTAATCAGTTGTGAGACGCCAGTGCAGCTACAAGTCACTCTGCCACAGACCTCAAGTCTCTTTCCTGATTTCCCTCTGCTGACTGCCTGCTTCTTCTGCAGATGCAGTCCAGTCCACATCTTTTTGAATTACGTTTTCATTGTGCCTGCTGCTCTGGCCTTAATAGGATCTAGGATCTCGATTTCCCCGGCCATGCACGGTCTCCCTGCCCAGTCCCAGTGCTTCCAACGCAACTGCAGTGCTGGACGTCTTGATGGCTTGCACTCCTCCACTCCTGCCCTCGCCCTTCACAAGCCTTGTCCAAACTGTACCCTTGTCTGGACCGTGACCACGCACCAGTGTGCCCATGATGCTGACTCATTCCACTCTGTTTCAGCTCCACGTGAAGTAAACAAACCTACTCGCTGCCACCATTTCTTGACCCTCTTCTCATACAGCCATCTCAGTTCACTTCCAGTACATACGGCTCTTCAACTAATTTCTGATTCCACTCGGTTTCATTTCATTCCCTCAGTTAGTCTTCCCTTTTACTGCCACCATGTTGAAGGCATGGTCTCAACTCACAAAATGTAGTTATGTTATAGCTGAACTTTGAAGGGAGGAAGATGCCTGAAACCCCTCCTTCTTCTAACGGCCTATAAATTTATGTAATATAAATGGCCTTTTATCTACAGACAGAAGCTGTCCAGAACTCCAGCCCAAGTTCTCAGAGTTCTCCCCCTCCCACAATCAGTCTTCCCTCATACTACCATGTTGAAGGCATGGTCTGAACTCACAAAAAGTGAATAGATGAGATGTGCGCAAAACCTTTTTGTAGCAATAATATAAACATATCTTAATGTAGCAGTTAACATGGCACACCATTCACCATACATTTGTAGCACGCCTGTTTGTGAGAAGTATTTCCTCCCTGGAATGTTGTACCTTGGGTTTAGCTTCTTTGCAAGCTGTATAATGCCTTCCTTTTCCACCCTTTGAACTGGAATCACGTCCTTTGCTAACCAAAATGTGACTGCTTCAGTAATTTTATTCCAGCACTTTCCTTTTTGTCATATGGAGTACCACTTGCGAATGCTCCAGCTATTGTTCCCTGAAAGACTAACTTAGGTTTGGTTTGTTGATTTGAGAAATGTTTTGCCTTCAGATAATCTTTGCTCGCAGACTCACACAGTGTCTGCCACTTGCACTCAGGCCAGTGCCTTTGCTTTAGATGGTGAAATAATTTAGATGTGTTACTACCGTTGCAGTCAGAGTATTTTTAGAGTAAGTTTTGCAAATTATTGTTGTTTGTTTTGAGTCTGACCTTCGTTGCCTAAAAAAACGTTCACACTATTAACACAGCTCCCCTTTTAGGAACTAATCTGTCCTCAGTGGCAGCGGTACTGCCCTCTGCAGCATTGGCCATTGTTATAAGGCATGAGCACAAGTTAGGTGTGGTTACATCTCAATATCGGGAAATGGCAAAATCCTATTGTATTTAAAACTTTGTACTTAAAACTCTTGAATGATATTATATCGCTCAGCCCTACTACTATGAAGAGTAGCATGCAATATACAGCATATACAGGATACAGTACACAGTATGCAATTTCAAACAATGTTTTTCACCATGCCATGAGTCAAATTCATGGTGTTCACTATTCAACAATTCCTTGTGTATTTTTTCCACTTCTCTGCTGTTGAAAATTAATGGGGGCGAAATTTCAGAAAGAGAGGTACCTTAAATGTTGAGGAGAATGTGTGCGTTATTCATGTGTTTTACCCCAAATATAATCTTTTGTGATTTTTTGCTGAAAATATGCAGTAACTTATATAATTGATACATCTTACTTTTTATGTAGGAATGAAGACTTATGCAGATCGATGGGAAAACAACTAGATGAAATTACAAGAAACAGTAGATCAATAGAAGGACACTTCACTAGATACATTCTAAATACAAGGATTCTCATCAATGAAGAAAGACTAAAGAAAGAAATATTTGGAGAAGAAGACAAGGACAAACCTCATAAAACCATATTACTGGTTGGAGAAACAGGAACAGGGAAGTCGACTCTCATCAACGCCATCATCAACTACATGCTGGGTGTGAAATGGGAAAACAGAATCTGGTGTGAGATCATAGAGACGAAAGAAAACCAGACTAAATCTCAGACGACAGTAGTGACTGTGTATGATGTGTTTGTTGAGGAGAGTCCATTCTCTCTCACTGTCATTGACACACCTGGATATGGAAGCACAGCAGGGATTGATCTAAATATTACTGAAACTCTACATGAGTTACTCAGATCCAAAGATGGAGTTACAGAAGTTGATGCAGTGTGTCTTGTGGTGTCATCAAACATTATTCGACTTACAGAGTCACAGCTCTATGTTTTTGATGCCATTCTCTCTTTATTTGCTAAGGACACGGAGAGAAACATTGTTGTGTTTATCACATACGCCACACGAAAGCCAACAAACACCCTCAAAGCCATCAAACATTCTAAAGTCAGATGTGCAAAAACTGATGATGGAGAGCCTGTGTACTTCAGCTTTAACAACTCTCACTGTGAAGCCTTTCTTGAACTTGATAAAGATGAGACAAAAAACAAAGAAGAATGCCACAAATACAAAGCAGTGTGGGATATAAATGAGAAAAACATGAAAAATGTTTTCACGTTTTTGAATGACAGTAAAGCTGTAAGCCTGAATTTGACTGAAAATGTGCTTAAAACCCGCAAACAACTGAAAGCAGCCATCTCCAGTTTAAAGGAGCGAATCGAACAGACAGAACTCAGAAAAAAGGAGCTTGAACAGACAAAAGCAGCTCTGGAGAAACACGAGAAAGAAAAGAAGGACATGAATAACTTTGAATGTGAAGTTGAAGAGTCCTACAAAGAAAAGGTGCCTGTAAAATCTAAGCGGTGGCAGTTCAGAAGGAAAAAGGCGACTTGCTGCAGTGTGTGTGAGGAGAACTGTCATTATCCTGGATGCTGGTGGGTCAGAAACCTTTATTGGTGCAGCGTCATGAAAAAGGGAAAATGTACTGTCTGTACTGGAAAGTGTGACCACACTCAGCATGTTAAAGAGAGGAAAATGTATGTGTTGAAGACTCGGAAGGTGAAGAAGACTATAGAAGAGCTAAAGAAGAAATATGAGGAAGAGTCTGGAGAGAAAATGAGTTTGATGAGCAGACTGGAGAATGAGATAAATGAAAATGAACAAAAGAAAACTAGTCTGGTGGAAGAGTGTTATCAGTGTGTTGTCACTCTGGAGGAGATTGCCTTAAACACTGACTCTGTGTCTGTCCTTCAGAATCTGGACTTCTTGATTGAGAAAGTGAAGGAAACGGGAAACACAGAAAGAATTCAGAAGCTTGAAGATCTGAAGATACGATAA